GCGCGCGGGGCTGGCCTTGCGCTTTGTGGCGCCAATAACCAACCTTGCCGAAGTTGTCTCGCATGCTCGATCATATAACCAGCAGTGAGCAGGTGCGCTTCGAGTTTTTTTGGTGTAAAAAAGTGCTTGGTGTAGGAGATCTTGGCCTTCAGCTCAACGCGGCCACCGCCTCAAGCGTTGCCATCGAGGCTGTGGGCGCTATGCGGGCATCAATCTACGCCCTTCAGCTGCCGCTGCACTTTGGCCGTGGAGATCTTATGCGATTACTTCCCAAACGTGGACAGCATCATCTCTGTTGCATATCATGAGGAACTTCTGTGGGCGTTGGCAACCTGCGCCCTCATTGCAGATTGCCGAGTGGAGGAGATTGGCGGTGTTCACGCTGCTGGACATCAGGGTCGCCTGGGGAACGAGATGTCGGGCGCCACCGCCAACGACGCGAAGTTCCGATCCCCGTATGTCTACCGCAAGCAGCACTTCAAGTGCTTGCCGCATCTTCTGGGTGGTCGTTGGCTCGCGCGCAGGATGCAGACCGCCGCGGCCGTAGGGCGCGTCCACCTTCGGGCGACGAGGGCATCCACTGCCCTCGTGATATGCAGCAGTGCCGCGTCGCCGAGTTGCGCCGCAACCGAGCCAAAACACGAAGGGACGCGTGCGATCTCAACGTGGCCACGTGCAACGCCCAGCCGGCAGCCGCGGGTCCAGATCGGCCGCGAAGTGGGGGGGCTTCTGCAGGTAGTGGGTCCAGATCGGCCGCGAGAAGGAGATCGCGCAATTTTTGAGAGCGCAGTTTCATGGGCGAGGATTGCGCACCGTGGCGTCCCATGAGGCCTCCACTGCTTGGCAACTTGTGCTTGATGCTGTTGCTGTTTTCGGATCTTGTGCGACCCGCGTGCTAGGCTGCGCATTGGCGCGGGGCTTTGAGCTACCATGCGGGAAGTCTCGAGTTGGCTGGGATCTCTCGGGCGAAGTGATGTCAGGATCCTGCGTCGTGGCTCCCGCGTGCTGGTCGCTTAGTTCAACGTGTCTGAACGAGAGGGGGCCATTCGCGTCGCGCGCGCACCGAGTGTGAAGCATCCTCATATCGAATTGGGCAAGTGATCGGATCAGCTTTCAGGTTGCGCGCTCAGTTGCCGTCGCCCATGCTTCTTGGGGGGGCAATGCAAAATATGGTCGACTCGATATTGTCGAGCGGCCCAAGTTGACGACGCGACAGATCTGGCGGGGGATTTCTCTACGGACTATTGCGCCTCAAGCGTGGGCGACGTCCCTGGACAGGCGCTGCGAAAATTTGCTAGCGGGCGCATGCTTTCTCTGTTGGGCCGCGCTTCGTGGGTTTGACGGGGGGCGCGCGTGCGTCTGCAACCGGGGGGTGAGTCGCAGATCGATCGCATTATGCCGAACTGCCTTTTTCCACGAAGAGGTCGCGAAATTCGAAGTGGATCGTGCTTTTGATGCCCGCGCTTGAAACGAGGGCCACTGCGCAGTCTGTCTACTCGTCAAGGGCCCAGTGGCTCTTGCAGTGCCGCCGCCGCGGGCCGCGGCGCGTCGGGCCGTTCGAAGTTGAAAGACAACGGGCCGACCATTAAGTTTTGGGGGTTTTGTATTCCGCGACGCTGCCAGAATGAAGCGAGGACGTAAGTGGGCGCCTGTTGGGCGCCGACGAACTCGCGGGAAGCGCGATGGCGACGCGCTTGCCTCGAGGCCGACTTTTGGCGCCGAATCGTTGCGTCGCCGCGAGCGTTGTGGCCCGTGGAGCCAGGGTGGCAAGGGCGCGCGGGCGACCTTTTCCAGGAGCGCCTAGCGCGATTCTTGAGCAAGACACTGCGTATTGTCAGGGCAATGGTGATGGTTAGTGGCAAGAATGGGAGTCGCGCGCGCTGCGGCGACGCGCGCTGCGAGTGAGGTATGGTGGAAATGCCGCTGCGAGGCGGTGGTAAGATTTGGGGGGGCTGCAATAACAAACCAGCTACTGTGACCAGATGGAGAACCGATGTCAGATCAATCGGAGGAGGATGCGGCGGTTTTGAGCCACTTTGCTGATGCGGTGGCCGCGGTTATCCTCGCGCTGCAGCGAGTAGCTGAGGCTTGCAATCGTCGGCTTCGCAATATCTCTCAGGCCGCGCAGACAGTCCAGGCCCGAGCCAGATCGCGGGGATGTTTTGCAGAGCGAAATGGAGGAAAGCGCCGGGACAGGACTCGATCTCTGGAAATGTTGGCGGTGCGTCCACGGGCGTTGGCGAGGCGCTGCGGGCCGATTTTGTTGGAAGCAGGGCCGCGCCAACAAGAACCATTTCAACGGATTCATAGTGCTGTTTTCCCATTGTATAAGGATATGGGCTCCAGAACGGGTCGATCTCTGGGCAGTGGCAGGGGCTTCTCATCGAATGGGGCGATGCGCAATTGCTGGCCTTCGTGCGGTTGCATGTATGCGGGTGCGTGGGCCGGTGCTGCGAGACGCGCAGTGCGGAGGTCGTGCAAGGCGGTGGCTTGGCCCTGTGCTCCAGTCGGAAAGTGCGCGCATAGAGGTGGAGAAACAGCGGGGAAGGCTAGCTTTCTGTGCGGGCCCTAGGTTCGCCTGCCACCTTGCGGTCAGGTCCCTGTTCTCGCCGCTGCGTGGCGAAGATGTAGATGCGGATCGTGTCCCGCGTGATCAGGATGCCCCGCTAGCGATGCCACCGCTTCGTTGTTTCATCTTGAGCTGACCTGCGGCGCTGTTGGAAGTGGATGCGGACCCCCACTTGGTGGCCTCGTTGATTGGGGCGCGCGGGGGTGCGCGTCGCATCGCGGCGATTTGCTCTGCAGCAGCGAGATCGGGGAGAGGGTCGTGTCCTGGAAATATCCTAGCGGACGCCCGTCGCCTTCCTGGCTCCTGTCCGTGCTCTCTGGCGCTCAGAGTGCTGCTGGTGCTCCTCGTCGCCACGGCCCCTCCTCGTCGCCACCTTGACTCCCGAGGCTTCTGCCTCTCCTGGGTTCTCGCTCCCACTCGGCGGTCTGCGCAGTGCAGGTTGCTTTGTAACCCCGTTGTTGTCTGGCGCTGTGTCGCGGGTGCGGCGTCCCTGCCAGGCTGGGCCCTTGGAGTAGTCCAGTCGGGCCCTGCCGAGCGGCGCCGGTTGTCTCTCCGCCCAACGCGGGCGCGGGGACACCGACCCGCGCGTTCTGTGCGTAGCCGCACGCAGAGTGCGCACTTAGTTCTGGGATACGATGGGAACAGCATGCGCTTCGATGCTTTTGGTACTCTTGTCTCCCGGTGTCCATGTCGCCCATCAGGGGTCCGAGTCACCGCGGAAAACAGTCAAGACCCCTTGCCATTCTGGTTGAATTAGGACGCCTCCGCCCCCGCACCTGGGGCAGAAGTGTTCCCCCCCTTCTCTTCCTCCTCTCCAGGATCTTTTCTCTATTCCTTCCTCTGGCTCGGGGGCGCGGGTCTGTGGTAGACGTATGTGTTGCAGGCCGCCTCCAGAGATTCAGAGCATGTGATGATGGGAGGGGACAGGTTCCTTTTTGGGCTCCTCCCCTCGCGCTGTCTTGAATCAAGACAGCATTGAAACTAGGGCATCGGACAACTATAGCTATAACTTGGAAGCTGGGACTGTTGCAGGGAACGTGTAAGGGCAGCCCTCGCAGCCTGTTGGCCCCAAAGGGGCCGGCGGATCACATGCGTAGTGTGCACAGTCTTGGCCGATTTACCGGTTGAAATGTAGTAGTGCAGAGCATAGGGTTGACATATTGGTGTATGGCTTCGCTATGTGTGAATGCAGATGCACGGGCTTTCTAAACAGACAGGGGGCCCTTTAGAAGCCTTCCCGCCTTTCAAGAAGTCTCTCGGGAGGGAGCCTCCGATCCCATCGAGAAACTCTTCTGCCTTTGAAGAAGGCATCCCCCACGGTAACCCCCCGCCCAACATGGGATCATAGCCGTTCCCTCGACCCGTTCCAGGAGGTTTCAAAAGAGAGGAACACGTTTGCATGCTGGAGGTCGAATCCACTGACCATCACCCTATTCGCCATGACATGATCATGCTCCATTATGTCCCCGCTGCGAAGACAGGTTCTCGGGACCGCAGGCGACACGCACTTGGGCGGCAACGACTTTGACGACAGGAGAGGCTGTTGAGCGGGGCAACGGCGCCCACTCGGGAGATGTTCAGGGAGGCAGGACCATTTTTCCGACGTTGTGTCTGTTTCAAAGCCGACCTGTTCCCCATGTCGGCCTCTAGGGGCCCGTCTCGGTCTACGGCCATCAAAACTCAGGATCAAAAACGGTTTGTATGATGTGGTCACGAGGGTCGAGGAGAACGGTTTCAAAACGCAGAGTCCGAGATCTCGTGCGGTTCTTGGTGAGCCAGGACAAGTCGGGGGTGATCCAGAGGGGTGTGATGACTGGGGTGAGGGGGCGGGTGTCGCATATCTCGTGGCCCCCTCCTCTTCTTTCAAGGAGTTCCCTGCCCCCCCCTCCTGGACCGCGCACATGCCTTGGGCCGTAGTTTCCGAACCCCCCTCTTGGACGCCCCCCCAGTGGACGCCCCCGCGAGAGGGCTTGCTCTGAGTGGAGGCTGCTTGTTCCACGCCACGCGCCTGACTGTGCGGCCCGCCGTCGGGCCGCCTCGCGACGCGGGGTGCGCCTGCCTGGGGCGCAGAGTGACCGTTGTGGACGCATGTTTTAGGCCTCCTAGATGGGGTCAGAGTAGATGGGGTCGGTGGATCGCGCCGCATCGCCGATGCATCGGCGATGCGGCGCGATGCGAAGCCCGATTTTCTCCACGCGGACGTCCCCGATGTATCGGCGACGTATTGGTGATGCATCGGCGATGCGGCGCGATCCTCCGAACCCATCTGCTCCTACCCCATTTGGGAGGCCTCTAGATGTGCATGGGGGTGCGGTGGGAAACCTGCTTGGTCATATGAGTATACGGCTCGTTGCTTCATAGTCAAGTTCGCCCGCGTATCCTGCATGACGCGCTTCATGCCCTCGCTGATGGGCGCAGCACGGGATGCTCTCCCAGAAACGACTCGTGTTCTTTCGTGGGTTCTCCGCAGTCAGGCCCGACAGCAGGTACATTCCCAGATCCACAGCGGATGCTACGACGTAAGGTGATTTCTTTTCCCAGTGACGTTTTCCTAAGGGGTGCATATTCATTTTCGCAGAGCCCGTGGGTGCCAGGCCTGCGCCAGTCCGCGTTCCTCTGGTCGCTTGGCCCTGCATCTTGATTGACTTCCTCGGGTTGCTTGGTCTTGTTTCTTGACTGCCTTCCTCGAGGTGTGTGGTCTTGTTCATTGTCTGCCTTCCTCGGGTAGCCGGGTCTTATTTAATCGCTTCGTTCATTCCGCCGGCTCATAATGTGGCATCGCTGGCTTTCGCTCGCGAGTTCGTCGCCCATGTTGCACTGCTGGGCGGTGGTCGTTTTCCAGCGGCGTTTACTTCAGCAGTCTTGGAACTGAAGCAGTTCATGTGTAGTTGTTTCTGGGGGGCTTGTTTGGGGATCATCATGGGTATGTGGCAGCATCGTGAGTTGAGCGTGTCACCCATGGAGCTGGGCTTGTCACCCATGGCGTTCCGCTGTTGGGCCATTCGAGTGCTTGTTTGGGGTCCGTTTGCGGCTATGCTGCAATTTCTGGGGGGCGCGTTGGTGTTTGTGCGAGGATGTTGGACTTCACATTCGGCCCCCTCTGTAACGAATCTTGAGGTATCCGGGGCCTACGAGTTGAACATGATCGGGGAGGGTAGCAGGAGGCTTCTTGGGGTCCTTGGGAGGCCTCTCGGGGGCCTCGTGGCGGTATTTTCTCTTGGGGCCTCACGAGGGCCTTTGGGAACCTCTTGGGTGCCTTTTGGAGCCTCTTGGGTGCCTCTTGGGTGCCTCTTGGGGCTTTTGGGGGGCCTTGCGGGCCTCTTGGGGCCTCTTTTTGGCTCTGGGGGCCTCTTGGGAGCCTCTTGGGGTCTCGGGGGGGGCGGGCTGAGGGGTCCCCCGTCTGGGCCACTGGTGTAGCCGTCTTGGGGGCCTCTTGGGCCGTTTTGGAGCCTTCTTGGGCCGTCTTGAGCGTCTTGGGGTGATCTTGGACCGTCTTGGAGCGTTGGGACGCCGAAAAGGCGAGAACAAGCCCAAATCCTTCAAAAACCTGAGGGAAATTCCTAATTTGGGTCTCTAAGGGCCCTCTTGGGACGCCGTTGAGAGGCCTCTTGGGGCGTCTTGGAGGCGTCGTCGGCCGTCTGGAGGCCATCTTGGGCGTCTTGGATGGATCGGCCGGCGACTCGGAGCCCGCCCCTCGTCACCCCGCAGAGTCCATTTCGATCCGTTCGATCCGATCCCACTTCGAATCGGGCCGGTCTGGTCCGATTCGATTCCGAATCTCCACCGATCCGATGCGGCCCCCAGCTGCAGCGCTGTGGGCCCGCCAACCTGACGGTGCCGGCCCCTTGCCCTGTGCCTGAGTGAGCGGGCTACCCTGGTCTCGTCGTGGTGCTCGCGGCTGTGCTGGCCTTCGTGCTGGGCTTCGCCCCGGCGCCTGCGACAGGCTGGCTCTGGCTGCGCCGCGTGGATGCCGCAGACTTCGAGGGCTCCGTGACGGTGGGTGTCCACGATGGCAAGCCACCTTCTTCAGGGCTAGCGGGTGCTCGTCTCCTACGACGTGGACCCGCGAGAGCTCTTGTGGCACGAGCGGCTCCTGTGTGCGCATGTCCAGATCAGCTCGTGGGTTGTCGCGACCCCGGACCGTGACATGTACGTCGAAGATCTCGAGGAGGGCATCGAGAGCTTTGTGCCGCTGGGCCCCCTGGGCGGCCTGCCAGTCGGCTGGAGCCGCTGGCCCACGTACTTCTTCCGCGGCTCGCCGCAGGGCCCGCTGTCCAAGGAGGAGAGGCTCCGCTTGCAGGCCGAGGGCGAGGAGCTGGCTGCCGCCGAGCGGCGCGACCTGGGCCTGCAGGACCAGCCTGCGCTGCCGGCGCCGCCTGGCCTCCAGTCCGGCGGCGACGGCGGCTTCGGCGATGGCGAGTGGCGGTTCTCGGAGACGCGCGGTGCCGCCCGCCTTGGCGAACGGGTGCCGCCGTCTGTGCTAGAGGCTTGCTTCTGTCGCGGGGGCCGCGGCATCGTCCTGTCGGGAGGTGTTCCTGTGAGCTGTGCCTTCTTCAGAGCTGGCGGGCAGATACCGGCGCCTCGAGGTGGCGCTGGCAGGGGTGACTCCGCCAGCGAGCTGCGTGCGCTCCTTGTGAAGTACGAGACGGCGTCTCAGAGGCACCGCTCGTGCAAGGAGGCGGCCTCTTTGACCGCGACGACGACGACCTTCGCCGATTGGCCTATCAGCGGGCCGCGCACGGCGTTGTGGCTGGCTCGAGAGATCGCCCGCCGGGGGGCTGACCCCTGTCCGCCGACATTTCAGGTGGCGCCAGAGGGCCGCCGCTGCCAGCTGCTCGAGGAGAGGTGTGCCCGCGTGCTGGTGGCGGCCTCCGCTGGCGGCGATAGCGGGCATCTCGACAACGACAGGCTCTGCGTGGTCGAGGAGGGGCGCCGCGGCCGCGCTATCGCCGCACCTGATCTTGAGTCCTGGATCTCACGGACGCCGTCGGAGGAGAGCGCGGTTCTCAAGGAGCGCCGCAAGGCCGCGGAGGAGCGGCAGCTGGCCCGCTCGACAGATGTGACCCCGAGCGGAGTCAGCAGCTCAGACGACCCAAGAGGCCCCCCAAGAAGCTGCCGAAGAAGCAGGGGGGCGGTCAGGGGGGTGGAGCTGCGTGGACCACTTCGGACGGCGGGTGCCCCCGACCGTCGTCCTTTTTGCATGTGGGGGGCTTGTCGTCCGTGGAGGGTGGCGACCCGCCTTGGTGTTGCAGGTGGGCGGCTTGACTGGGCCCGCGACTTGCTGCCTCTGCCGACTGGCCGCTGTCTGTCTGACGTCCTGGGGGGCTTCTCGCAGGCAGGGCTGGGTGTGTCGCGCTGCGCGGAGCGGCAGTGCGCTCGCCGCCGGGCTGCAAAGGCGTCGCGCAGGACGGCGTCGCGACGCTCGACGCTTTCGGGGGTCGCGGTGAGCAGTGGGGCCCCAAACTGTTGTCTGGTGCGATCCAGCGCAAATCAGTGGCCAGCCTTGGCCCCAGCTTATTTCTCCGTGCCGCCGCCGCCCGACGACCTCGCCGCCTCGGGGGCGTGGTCTGCGGTTCGGGGTAGCGGTTCTGGCTGCGCCTTCAGTGGCGTCGTCGTCGGGGAGTTCGCGATCTGCCGGCGTGGCAGGCTTGCCCTGCCGGCGGTCGGCAACCAGACGATCGACCACGTCGGCTGCCTGCGGGGCCACTGCCAGAAGTTGCTGGAGGCCAGCGGCCGCGTGGCTCGTGCGCCGGAGCCTCGAGGTGGGCATGTTTGGGCTCGCGATGGATCCCGTCCTGGCGAGGTATCCCAGCAGGTTCGCCGAGTTTTTGACTTGGGCTTGCGAATGGGGTCGTCGCGCTGGCGTCCGAGGTTCGCAATTTTGTGGGGTCTTCTTCGTCCGAAAGAAGGGCGGCTCGTTGCGGGTCATCATCTTCGATCCACGTGTGACCAACGCCCAGTTTCTGCCCCCCGATGGCGTCGCTCTGGCTTCGCCCTAGGCGTTGGGCGACCTTGAGCTGCCAGCTGGCCAGCAGTTGTGGATGTCCGATGGGGGGCATTGAGAACTGCTACTGCCAGTTTCTGCTGCCCGTCGACCTGCGGGGCGACTTCGCGCTGCCCGCGGCGATCAGGCGGCTGCCGCCGTCGCGACTCCGTACGGTGTTTCTGTCGTCCGCCGAGCAGGTGCGCTGCCGGGCGCGCGTGGTCACGATGGGCTGGAGCTGGGCGGTCGCGCTCGTCCAGGCGGCCAACGCGGATCTCCTGGGGGCGGAGCCCCGCGGCCCCCGACGCTGGAACTGCAATGGGCGCTGCGTGCCTTCGGTCGCTGGGCGCGAGCCAGCCGCGCTGGTGTGCATCGACGACTTCACCGCCTTGGGGGTCGACGAGGAATCCGTCAGGGCAGACGGCGATTCGATGGGGAGGCAGCTGAAGAGTCCAAGTCTGGGTGCTCACGACGTCTCGTGGCCGCGAGCCGACGTGGACCTGCTGGGGCTCCGCGTCGATGGCTTGAGGGGTGCGACCCACATCGCGCCC